TTGAGTTTGATTGATTCAGTGACTGGGGTAATCGGGATGGGAGTATTAGAGACAGTACGATTGGCTCAGGACAGAGCAGAGTTTAAGGCTGTTGTACACAGGGTCGCTATGAGTCGCAAGCAACTCAACGGCACATAACAACAACAACAGTGCTAAGACAGGATATCCATAATCATTCAAGCAAGTCACCTTCTCAAATGAAAAACAATAATACATATTCAAAAGAAAGAAACTATGGGTTACAGACCTAATGGAGGGGGACCTATTGGAAAGTCAAAATTTCTACTCAATTCAGGGCTCTGAAGGTGAGCTGGCCAATAGAAAAACATTGTTATGACAATGGAGTTACAAGGCACAAACATTTAACTTACTCTAAAGCAAAGTTTCTAAACCTCAGGACCGTTGATGTGTTAAGCCAAGTCTCTGTTGGGGAGTCTGTCCAACACACTGAAGGACATTTGACAGCATCCCTGCTTCCACCTACTAGAGCTTAATTCCACCACCCACCTCCCCAGTCCTGACAATCAAGAATGTATTCAGATATGGTCAAATGTCCACTAGAAGACAAAATCACTCCAGGTTGAGAATCAACACTCTAAATTACACCTTCGTGTACTTAGGAGAGGAAAAAGGGTGTGTGTGTGTGTGTGTGTGTGTGTGTGTGTGTGTGTATTTTACATATAGTTGTTGTTATTGTAGCTAAGTGCCATCGAATCACCTGCCACTCATAGCAGCCCTATGTCCAACAGCTCTAAACCCCGCCTTATCCTGAGCCAGTCTCACTATTTCCAACACACCTACCCTCATTACCCCAATTACTATGCTAATCTATCTTATCCAGAGTCTTCCTCTGCTGTTCTGTCCTTCCTCCCTTCCAGGCATGATATCCTTCTCCAAGGAGTGGTCCTTCCTAGAAACATGCCCAATGTATGTCAGATGGAGCTTCACAATCCTTGCCTCCAAGGAGCAACTCAGCTTCACTCTCTCCAGAACAGACCTGTTTATTCTCTTATCAGTCCATGGTATTCGTAATACTCTCCTCTAGCACCGTAACTCAAAGGCATCGATTCTTTTTCTGTTATCCTTAGGCACTGTCCAGCTCTCTGATGCATAACAAATAACTGCAAATACCATGGTCTGTTTCAGGCACACCTTAGTCTCTAGACTGGCATCCGTTGCTCTTCAGCATTCTGGAGAGGTCCCTGATAACAGATTTTCCTGATTAGTCTTTTGATTTCCTGACTGCTAATGACAAGACTGTTGATTAAGGACCTGAGCAAGCTGAAATTGTTAACAATCACAATCTCTTCTCCATCTATCATGGTGCTGCCAATTGGCCGAGTGGTAAGAATTTTTATTTTCTTGATGTTGAGCTTCAATCCATATTGAAGACTGTACAGTCCTTGACCTTCTGCAGTAAACACTTGAGTTCCTCCTCAATTACAAATATATTGTTGTTGTTTTGTACCACTGAGTTGGAACTATCCTATAACTGACCCTCCTCCGGGTGGGTTTTCAGATTCAGTTAATCACACGGGAGGAGATTGTCCATCCTTCTCCTGTTGACTGGCATGTCAGGAGTGGGATACATTATATACAGACATAGGTATTTATGTATACATGTATATATAACAATCTACATATTTATGTAAATACACAAATATTTGTGTGTATATCCATGAATATTTATATATGTATACACATATATTTCAGAAGAAGGATGGGCTATTTCCTCCCATGCAATTAACTGCCGCTGAAAACCCGCTGGAGGATCAGCTATGGGTCAGTTCTGACTCAACTGTACTCAACACCAACAACAACATATAGATTTACATATGTGTAATATATGTAATACATGTGTGTATATATTATTGATTTGAGCATTATGCTCTTTTTTAAAATTTCACTTGTTTATTGTATGACATTTATTAATAGACCCTTTATTGATCTTCATATGTTTGGGGGTTTTTAATTAGATAAATTTTTATCTTATATTGGTTTGCTTAGAAAGTTCGTATACATTATTTTTCACACCCTATCTTTCCCATTTCCTTTATCCCCCTGTACACTCCCCCCCAACTCTTCAACTTGTGTGACCCTATGATAACCCACCTGCCCATCCTCACCCCTCTGTTCCTACCCTCTCCCTTTGATTCTTATACTCCTTTTACTAGTTATCTTTCTATTTCTACAACAACAGTCGAATACAGTTTTGTCCTTATAGGACTGAGTTAGTTCACTTAGCATATAACATTAAGTTCTTTGAAGATCTCTCTCCATGAGCTCTATCTCCATCATGAGAAAAGGAACAAGTCAAAAGATGAGGGTGAGGACAGTCCCACAACTGCAAGAATATAATCAAAACCAAAAAAAACTCAAGCTGTTCAACTGAAAACAACCCCCAGATGACCCTCCAGCAGGTTTCCAGAGGCTGGAAACCGCCCAAGGGGAGAATATCCATCGAATCTGGTAGATTTGAACCACATGCCTTTAGGACGGCAGAGCAACTCCTTAACCACTAGGCCAGAGCTCCCTCAGTGTCATTGAACTGAACATGCAGAAACTGTTGAACAGTGTATGTTTTGATACAGACATTCCAAACAAAAAGAGTAAAATAAGTAAATTTTAGGGGGCAGGAAGAAAGGAAGAAACCCATCAGTACTTACTCTTCCAACTAATATGATCTGGTGGCCTAGTGGTAAGGAGCTGCACAGCCAACCCAAAGGTATGTGGTCTGAATCCACCAACTGTTTCTCAGGAGAAATATGGGCAATCTCCTCCTGTGAGATTTACTGCCTCTGAAAACTCACTGGAGTTCTGACCCCATGGTCCATAACAACAACAACAACCACAACAATATCCTATATAAGAGAGAGACTTCTAAAGCACTCAGGGAAAAGGGCAATTTAACAAAGAGACGCTGTTACTGAACCTGGGGTGGACCCTGGGGAAAGGCCCGCACTCACAATGGAGAGCTTTTCTGTAGTCGTGTACCGGGTAAGGATCTCGCCCCGCTTGCTGGACCACGGCTCGAAATCCGAGCCCACTGCCGAGCTCTCATCGCGATCACGCTTCTTCCTGCAGCCGTCCTAGGGAAAGGAGAAGAAAATGGCCTCAGCTGCACTATCGTTTCACGTCTACAACAAAGTATCAGGAGCAAGCGGACAGTCCTCTCACGCAACAAAACAGATCTGCTGCGGCTGGCCGCTCGAACCCATCCGGAAGGGCCGGCAAAGCTGGCTGTCGGCTTCCAAGACAATGACTCCGACGTGCGCAGTTCCATTCTGTACACAGGGCGTCACCAAGAGTTGGAATGAAAGGCAACAAACAACAGCAAAGGTCTACAGCTGATACCTTTCAAAGCCACTTCAACACGAAGGGCCTAAATTAGCGTCATCAAAAGATGTGCAAACTCACTAAGAAGGATGAAAGGGCGAATCTAAAGAGATCAGTTTTTTAAACGAGCAAAGATAGAGGAACGTTAAGGTCCGTCGGAGTCGAGGAGACTGGCTCAGGATAGGGCAGGGTTCAGAGCTAAGGTACACGCGGTCGCAGAGCTGCAGGTGACTCGTTGGCACAGAACAGAAATAACAACGAGAATCTGTTCAGCTGAGAGCTATCCTCACTGGAGCCACTGCTGGAGTCACTGCCGATCCAGCTCATTAAGGGTCATCTTCGTTTTGTGCTGATTCTCCGTCAGGCATGATGCTCTCACCCCTCTTTTTAATAGGTCTAAAGCATGAGAGACGAGGCTGCACCATTCACCCTCTGAGGAGCATTCTGGCTGTACTTACCCAAGGTGGCTCAGTCTGTTCCTCCAGCAGTCCATGGTTCAATCAATATTCTACACCTTAATTCCAAGGTACAAATTCTACTTCAGATTTCTGTATTATTGTTCAACTTTCACATATGTTCAAGGCAAGTAAAAATACTACAGTTTGGGTCAAGAGTACCCTAGTGTACCAAGTAACATCTTTACTTTTAACCCTTCAAAGAGCTCTTTGGCAGCAAATAACTCCAGTGCAATGTCATTTGATTTCTTAACTGACACATCTGAGGGGGTTGATTATAGATCGAAATAAAATTATGTCACTGGCGTCTTCAGTATATACTCCATTGGAGGGGGAAGTCGAAATTGGTATAGCCTATTGCTGCTGAGAACTAGTCCGTGACTAAAGATGACAGGAGAAAAAGTGATACCTTTGAACTGTGGTGCTGGAGGAGAGTACCATGGACGGCCAAGAGAACAAACAGATATGTCATGAAGAAGGTGCAACCAGAGGGCTCCTCGGAGGTGAAGATGATAAAACATCATCTTACTTTGGGCATTTCTAAGAGAGACTAGTCCTTAGAAAGAGGCATCATGCTTGTGAAGGTGGAGGGAGAGTGAAGGAAGACCCTCAACCAGGTGGACTGACACAGTGACTGCTGCAATGGGCTCTGGTACGTCAGAGATTGTGAGGACAGCACAGGAGAGGGTTGTACTCAACTTAAGGTTACTTGACAACAACAATTTGGAGGACAATTTAGGAGTAGCCAGCAAAGTCTTAAAAATACAAGCCGCTCATTGGGAGAAAGTTGGGCAATCTCCCCTCATAAATATTTACAGCTTAAAAAAAAAAACAACCCACCATTTACAGCCCCAGAAACCCAAAGAAAGATTATCATTAGTCAAAATTGACCCAACAGCAGTGGATCTGGTCCTTTTAATGTGTATAAGCAGGGAGCCCTGGTGGCCTACTGGGTAAAGAGTCGTGCTGCTAATTCAAAGGCAAGTAGTTCAAATCTATTAATTGCTCTAAGAGAGAAAAACGGGCAACCTCTGCCAGTGCAAATGAGTCTCTGAAAACCACTAGCGGGTCAGCTATGAGTCAGTTCCAACCCGAGGGCACATAACAACACAACATATTATATATAAGGAACCTTGGCAGTGTTGTGAACAAAGTACATGCCTACCATCCAAAAAAAGAAAAAAGGTGGGTGATTTGGGCCTACCAGCTGCTCCCCAAAGATGAGGCAGTCTGCTTCCGCAAGTATTTACAACCTTGGAAACTCTTACAGGTTTGCTATGAGTAGCAAAGGATTCAATGGAAAGAAACCTACTAACTATGTGAATGTAGACGGTCCTTGAGCAATGCAGGATCAGAGGCTCCTACAAAGTTGATTATCTACATACAACTTTGAACCGATGAAAAACTTACATACTAACAGCCTGCTAGTTAGACAGACACCTTGCCAATAGCATAAGCAGCTGGCTGGTCTATTTTCTATGTTGCAGAGCTCTGGTGGCCCAGTCTGCAGGGAGACACATGGCCAACCCTAAGGTCACACGTCACCGGTGACTTGGATCCACCAGAGGGACAGAGATGGGCAATCCTGGCCCATGGGCTTTACAGCTTCTGAACGCGTGCTGGTGGGTCAGCTGTGTGTCGGCTCCAACTCGATAACAGTGAGGTGGACAGAATACATGCTCACCCATTCGCTATATGCTACAGAACGCACTCACATAAAAACTGCATTTTCAAGAAGTGATAAAAAGATATTTCACAGGAAGTGCAAAGCTTTTGCATGAGCTGACACAGTTACAGCATTGGCTTCACAAACTGCCTTTTCTCCTTTAACAATGATACTTACTCTGGATTCATTTACCTTGAAATGGTCTGGGGCAAAGCGGTAGACACAAGAATCGAGAACGTATCACGTAATTCAACTCTTCCTGTCAAGTCTGTTTCCCTGTTTCTTGGAAGCACTTCCAGCATCACTCATGCCACTCAGCACAGGTGTCAGGACGTTACTCAAGGTGTATTTATAGTGCACTTATGTCAATAAAAGATGACTAGTATCACGTGGCTATTGCAAGGTGCCGTCAAGTCGCGTATGACTCATAGTAACCCTATGAACAACTGATCTGAACTCTGTCCTATCCTGTGCCACCTTCACACTTTATGACACACAAGAGCCCAGTGCAGCAGTCACCGTGTCAATCCACCTGGTTGAGGGACTTCCTCTCCTTCGCTGACCCTCCACCCTTCCCAGCATCATGTCCTCCTCCTGGCATTATGCCAAAGTATGTGAAACAAAGGCTCATCATTCTTGCCTCCAAAGGGCACTCTGGCTGCACCACCATGTGGTAATTTGGGATGCTTTGGGATTTTTTTTTACAAATTTGATTATAAGCAGATCTGCATAGTTTGAATCATTGTTCAAGAGTCGACTGGACTCGGAAGTTTCATAGATTCAAATGTCTCTGAAAATTTAAAAAGGGCAGAGAGAAACAGAAGGCTAGATAATACACTGTTAACACTGATGCCCTTCAAGGTGGAGAATGGCAGCACGGGTGCTGGTCAGTAAGACGTTATCTGCGGTGTTTGAGTATTTCACTCAAAAATCAATAAATTACTTATGTAACTTGGGAGCTCTGGTGGCCTACTGGCAAGGAGCTGCACTGCAATCCCAAAGGCAAGTGGTTCGAGGCCACCGGCTGCTTTGCAGGTGAAGGATGGGCAATCTCCTCATGCGATTATCTGACTCTGAAAACCAGCTAGAGGGCCTGCTATGGGTTACTTCTGCCTCTTCAACAACAAGGGGAAAAGATTCTCAAGAAAAAAAGTAGGAAAAAAGAATGAAATAAAGGATCCATTTAAGAATGCAGGAAGAAAGGAGGAGAGGGGAAGGAGGGATGTCCAGAGTCTACACCCACAGCAGTTTCCTCTGGTAAGCCACACCAGCTGGATGTCCAGAGTCTACACCCGCAGCAGCCTCCCCTATTAAACCACACCAGCTGGATGTCCGTGGTCTACACCCACAGTGGCTCCCCTGTTAAACCACACCAGCTGGATGTCCGTGGTCTACACCCACAGTGGCTCCCCTGTTAAAACACACCAGCTGGATGTCCGGGGTCTACACCCGCAGCAGCCTCCCCTGGTAAGCCACACCAGCTGGATGTCCGGGGTCTACACCTGCAGTGGTCTCCTGTTAAGCCACACCTGATGGATGTTGAACTGTTCCAACGAGAACACATCCAGGCCTTACCTGTGTGATTCAAAAACAAAAAGGACAGCAGACACCCCCGCCTGGCCCTCACCCCCTTATGCCTGGCCACCCAGAGGACCGAGCTGCAGGTGCCCAGGTTGTGTTACCATGGCAGCGGCCGTGGCTGCAGGATCAGCAGTGGCTGCGAACATGGAGAGGGGGTCGGTGCCATCCAGGACGCTGCTGAGCGGGTCCAGCACGGAGCTGGAGGAGGAGGAGGAGGTGGAAGAGGTGCTCCCTTTCCGGCTCACTTTCTTGGTCTTTGATTCTGTGACCTGTGGGGGAGGATTTAGAACGTAAGACAAAAGTCTCCTACTTCTTCCCCTGAGGAAATGCCAACTTGGGTATTTTTTTCAGTGGAAGATTCTGTTCATCTGCAATAGAGTCTTTCTCATCACTCTGACTGATGTTTATTGTTGTGATGAAATGACTGTGACTCGGGGTCACAGCTGCTGAGGATGGAAAGGGAGAAAGCTAGTATTAGGAGGAAGAGGCAGGAGACCGGCCTTCTGTTTTAGGAGACGCTGTAACTGCCTACTTGTGGAGCCTGGTTTGCTCACAGTGTGGATCAGGACAGGCACCATCATATCACGTGGGAGAGTATAATAAATGCAGTCTCTCTGCCTCGCCCCAGAGCTGTAGCCTCAGAATGGGCATCCTAACAAGATCATCAGGTGACTGACATGGAAACAAAGGTGTAGTGGGTAACAGGCCCGGGTATTCGGGATCGCTGGGGCCATGCTGTACCCTGAATATCATTTCAATGCCTCTGCAAGCCATCAAAGCCCCACACCGCAGGAACACCCAAGCCCTTCCTTTTCTGTAATCCTGCCGCCTCCTCGTGTATGTACTGGGGGGGAGAGAAGGGGCTGTGGTTGTACCACTGTGCTCCACCCCTCCCCAACTCAAATAACTGGCCCAGCAGGAGTGAGTGCAGAGACCCAAATCAGAGTCACCCCTGGGAATTTAGAACCAACATTCAGCAGAGGTAATTAGGCTCCTGTCTTCCTTTATTCCAGAAATTCAAGCTGGATTCGGAAGAGCCCGTGGCAGGAGGGATAACACTGCTGATGTCAGATGGAGCTTAGCTCAAAGTAAAGCCTATCAGATCAATGTTTGTGTTTTGACTATGCAAAGGCATTTGACTGTGTGGATCATAACAAAACATGACTAATGCTGAAAAGACTGGGGTTCCAGAACACTTGAATGTGCTCAAGAGAAACCAAGACCAAGAAGTTGTTGTCTGAACACAGCAAGGGAGCACAGCACGGTTTAAAGTCAAGAAAGATGTATGTCAGGATTGTATCCCTCCTCCATATCCAATCTGTATGCAGAGCAAATCATTCCAGAAGACAGACTATATGAAGAAGAATGTAGCATCAGGATTGGAAGAAGTTTCATCAACAACCTATGTTATGCAGATGATACAATACCTCTAGAAAACGAAGAAGACATGAAGCACTAACTGCAGAGGATTAAAGACTATAGCCTTCAACAAAGATAATATTTCAACATCAAGAAAACAAAAATCCTTACCATTGGACCAATAGGCAACACCATGATAGATGGAAAAAGATAGAAACTGTCGATTCCATTTTTAACTTGGATTCACAATGCAGCAAAGAATCAAAATACATGGTGCACTGTGAAAATCTGCTGTCAAGGAGCTTTCCAAAGTGCTAAAGAGCAACGATGCCAGTTTAAAGATTAAGGTGCACCTGATCTAATTCATGATTTTTTTTCCCAATTATTTCTTCTGTATCTAAAAGTCAGATATAAGAAGAATTTAGGTCTTTGAACTGTGATCAGACAAAATTACTGAGTATCCTCTGGCCTGACAAAAGAACAAACAAATCCATCTTGGAGGAAGTGCAAACAAGGTGCTCCTTAAACACAAGGATGGTGAAACCTCATCTCACATACCCTGGACATGCTCTCAAGAGAAACCAGTTTTTTGATAAAAGCATCACGCTACTTTTCATTCTTTTCCGGCGTCCAAGATATCGAAGCAAGGACTTGGTGGGTCCTCCGGTGAAAAATTCCAGATTTCCCTGGGTCTTCTGATAGAAGCAGTGATCAACTATGCCGACAATACAGGAACCCAAAAAAAATCTATATATCATCTCTGTGAAGGGGATCAAGGGATGACTTCACGGAGTTCCTGCTGCTAGTGTGAGTGACATGGTGATGGCCACTGTCAAGAAAGGTGAACCAGAGCTCAGAAAGAAGATACATCCAGCAGTGGTAATAAGACAACAAAAGTCATACTGGAGGAAAGACAGGGTGTTTCTTTATTTTGAAGATCATGCAGGAGTCACAGTAAACAATAAAGGCGAGGTGAAAGGTTTTGCCGTCACTGGACCAGCTGCAAAGGAGTGTGCAGACTTGTGGCCCAGGATTGCATCCAATGCTGGCAGCATCGCATGATTCTCCAATGTATTTGTAGAAAAAGAAAATTAAAAGTTCACCCAATTAAAAAATTATTTGCTACAAAAAAAAAAAAAAGCACCATGCTGGGAAAGGTAGACGGAGGGTCAGAGAAAGAGAGGAAGACCTTCAACACGCTGGACTGACACAGTAATTGTAACAATGAACTCAATACTGGTGACGGTGAGGATGGCTGAGGATAGGGCCAAGTTCAGATCTATTGTTTATAGGGTCTCTATGATACAGGCCATGGTCTTTGCAATCGCTTGTTATGCATCAGAGAGCTGGACAATGACTAGGGAGGATAGGAGAAGAATCGACGCCTTTGAGCTGTGGTGCTGGAGAAGAGTATTAAATGTACCATGGACTGCCAAGAAAACAAACAAATCAATCCTAGAGAGGGTTAAACCAGGCTACTCCTTGGAGGCAAAGATTCTGGGGCTTCGTCTGACATACTTTGGACATGCTGCAAGGTGAGACAGGTCTTTAGAGAGGGACATCATGCTGGGTAGGGTGGAGGGACAGCGCAGGACGGGAAGACCCTCTACGAGGTGGATTGATTCAGTGACTGGGGTAATCAGGATGGGTGTGTCAGAGGCAATGAGATTGGCACAGGATAGAGCAGGGTTTAGGGCTGTTGTACATAGGGTCGCTATGAGTCGCAAACGACTCGACAGCACATAACAACAACAACAACAACAATGGTCACTGTCAGCTAGATGGCGCCCAATCACCACCACTTCCTTGTTTAGATGAGGAAGCTATGAAAACTCAGGGGCCATAGGCTGCCAGTGATGGACACGTGGGCTCTGTAACCCCCATGGAAGCAGAGAAGACTAACCTGCGGAGAGACAGGAACGGAGGGGGAAAGCAGGATGAAGGAAAGTGCACCAGCTGCTACCACTGTGTCCTTGTTATGTCTGCATAGCATCCACTCCTCCATCCCCCGCTCCAAATTATCTTGGGGAAAGCAGCTCCCTCCACTCTCAAGTCCTGCAGGCTGGTGGGGGGCACGCTGTTCCTGGTTCCCAAGGTGGGAATTATCAGACTTAACCTGCTCACCATACTCTGTTCTCATTGACCAAAACGGGGTTAGGAATGAACATGTAACTTAATGCCTACACAAAAATGGCTAGAGAAAACCTCCTGGCGGCTGGAGTCGTTGTTAAGTGAACAAGATGTTATGGTTGGAACTAATGAAGTGATTCCATTATCACACGGGGTGTGAGTTCCTGAGACTGGAACAGACGCACTAGTGGGTCACACAGAGTCACACAACCCCACCACTGATGGGAGGGGACAAAGGAAAAAAGAACACAGTCTGCTGATCTCTTGCTGTCGGTAATCGCCTGTGTGAGTTTTCCTGCGCTCGGAGAACCCAAGCATCTATCAGTTACCTCTCTACCCCGCACAACAACCACACAGTTCCCATCTGTGGCTAATGCAGCAGGAAAGCACAACCTACGTTTCTTGCGGTGTTTCAACGGGCCGATGGATGGTATTTCAGTGGCAAGAGTCTCACCTGTGAAAAGCTGAATTGGTAAAAATCGTGTGACAACAAAACAAAACCAAAAGGAGCAGCTGCTGAGGCTACTTGTTGTTGTTGTTAGGTGCCATCAAGTGGAGTATGACTTGTCACCAACTTATGAACAACAGGTATGATCCCTGTGCCATCTTCAAAGACTCAAAGACCACAAAGGACTTTGTTCCTTGGTTTGGAAGTTTAGGGTCATAGTTTTGTGGGATGTCCCAGTTCATCAGCCTAGGAACACAGTGCCTGAGGTCTTGCTTACAAAGAGTCATGGAAGACATAGCAATGAGTCTCCACGTACCTGGACCGAGAGGATGGAGAGGAGTCGGGAGTAGGGAAAAAGATGCAGGAGGTGTGGGCCACCCTCTGCCATGGGACCAGAACTGGATGGCACCCGGCTACCATTAGGAACATTCTGATGAAAGATTTCATAGACAAATGCAGATTTAGGGTTTTTTTGTTGTTGTTGTTGCTTTTTAAAAAAAGTGGGGGGAGGTTAGGAGGGGAATATGAAGCAAATTCAAAACTCTCATAGACTCCAGACATTCTGGAATTGTGGAGGGTGGAGAACCCTTAGGACAGTTGTCCTAGGATAATTTTTTTTAGACTTTTAACAAAAAATATCCCCTGAAGTCATTTTGAACCCAAACGCTACTTTAACTGCTGTACTTCTAAGCCAAAGGCTGAGACTCCCTGGTGGTCAGAATCCACCACCAAGGAGAAAGATGGAAAATCTGCTCCCATGCCGTTTACAGCCTCCTAAAAATCCACCGCAAGGTCAGCTATGAGTTGCTTCCAACTCTACAGTAGTGAGAGAGTGAGTTAAAAAGGACTGCCTTGAGTTATGCTCCTTCAAGAACGATCTCTATGGGATCAGATAGCAGCAACTCTGCGGGCTTTGCAGCAGCTCCAAAGATCAGGAAAAAACCTTAGGGGTCAGTGAGATTGTTAAGGGGGAGGGGAGGAAATTCAGAAAAAAAGAGTGTGAATGGTTTTACAACTCCAAGTATATAATAATGAACCCAGAAATAGACCCTATGGTCAACCGATATTAGACAAGGAAATAAAATCTATCAATAGAGGAAATGACAACCTCTTCAATAAATGGTGCTGGGAAAAGTGGACTGCTTTTTGAGGAAGTGCCAAACTGCCTTCCAGAGCGTTTGTGCCATTGTACAATCCCACTTGCGGTACATTCACACAATGGAATACTACACAGCACGCACGAGCAAAGATTTTGTAAATTATTACCCAACGTGGGAGGCACTGGAGAGCATTATGCTGAGTGAACTAACTCAGTCCCATAAGGATAAGTATTGTATAAATAAATCAGTTTGATGTTTCCTCAGAAAGCTGAACATAGAAATTCCGTATGACCCAGCTATTCCATTGCTTGGAATATAACCTGAGAAGATGAGAACAGAGGCACAAACAGAAACTTGTACACCAATTTTCACAGCATCATTATTCAGCATCTCAAGAACACGGAAACAGCCCAGATATCCAACCACAAACAAATAGATTGAGAAGTTGTAGTAGATTTATACAGTGGAATACTACACAACACGCAGGAACAATGAATTACTACCTAATTTGGGAGGGACTGGAGAGCATTATGCTGAGTGAACTCAGTCCCAGAAGGACAAATACTGTATAAAACCATTATTGTAGAATGAGTACGAGGATCCAAGGTGGGGTGTAGGGTGGAAGTAGAGGGGTGAGGATTGGTTGGGTAAGGCATTAATCACAGGGTTGCACAATTTGATGGCTGGGTGGGGTGAAGGAAATGAGAATGATCTTTTGTGAAAAACAATAAACTTTGTAAATAAATCAGAATAAAATTTTAAAAAATATATAATAATGCCACTAAACTGTACATATAAACTGGTGTATATGCTGCTTTGTATATGCTCAACAGCAACAATTTCTTTTTTTTAATTGAAATTTATTATTAATTTCAGTAAAAATTTACAGAGACTGTGGATTTCCATTCATTCATTGTTGCACTTTTCTCCCCTCCCA